AGCGGTCCTCTAGTACAGACGTGCCTTCCTCGTGCAAATAAAGAGATTTTAATAAAGTACGTCATTGTTTTGCCACATTTATTTATCCACTTACTCATATTCCAATAATCGGAAGTAAAGGTTAGAGAACGGGGTTCAGGTAATGAGGCTGATGATATAAGGGTCGAAAAGTGAAGGGCAGAAAATAAGACCGTATTTCCTGACACTCGCATCCCTTTCTTCTTTCACCTGTACAATCTGATCCTCCCTTTTTGGCTCTCATTGCCTGATCGTCACTTTTTCCCCCTTATATTGTAATATTGTTCTCATTTCCTGATCCATACTGTTTGACCCTCATACTCGGACCATCTGTTTTGAACCTGCTATCTTTAGAATAAATCAGTAGCGAAGTGGTCAAACGGTTTAAGTCAATTTAGTCTTTAGCTGAGTTTTCCAGAAATATTTCCGAATTGAAGGGAGACAGCGAAATTTTCATAATAACCTTTTTTGTACAACGTATTATGCGCCACTGAAAAGGTTATGAGAACAATTTTGCTACCTCCCTTAGATTTCGAGATATTCATTGAAAACTGGCCAATAGTCAAAATCGACTTGAACCGTTTGACCATACTTAACTACTGAAACCATGATTTGAAACTAAAAAGTAACTATTTCAAGCGTAAAATACGATGTTTGTTTTTGTAAATTACGCATAAGTAAATCGTAAGATACGGTTCTATTAAGATCATAATTTACAATTTCTTAAACATGAAATACGTTTAGTGAAACGTAAAAGACGCTTCACTCGGGCGCAATTAACGTTTTTATTTTTCCCGTAAATTCGTCTTTTTGAAACCTGAACTCCGATTTTCATGATGAAAAAAAAAAACAAACATCATATTAGTGTTAAGCGTAAATTACGCTTAGCAAAACGTAAATGACGCTTATTAACAAGACGTAATTTACGTGTAAATTCTTCAGTGTGCAATAAAATCGGTTAGCGCAATAGCTAATTATTCCAACTGAATTGATTCTGGCGTGACGATTTGAACTACAATTTACAGTTGGAAGTTTGGAAATATTGTAGTAAATTATTTAGACAATCAAGCAATTATGAAAATAATATGGACTAGCGCACGATTAAATTATGTTACATTATTTTATTTTATTGTCTCCTAACTTCATCTTTCAGATTAAATTAATTAAAATTTTTTAATATCCTAGTTTTAAGATTCGGTGTAGATTAGAGGGAAAAGAGAAATGTAGAGAGGAAGATGATCATAAAAGAGCAAAAAAAAAAATTTTTGGATCAATATTTTCTAAGCGTTGCGGCAGTGGGAGGGAACGGGCAAAATTCGAATGCAACTTTTTTGCCTTGGAACAGTACATTCAGGACCAAAATCGTGGCAGCGACACCGAGAGTCAAAAGAATTTTTCATCAACTTGGATATTAAAATTTGGGCCTTTTACCCACAAACATCGATTTTTGGAATATTTGCCATCTTTCAATTTTGCTGTAACTTTTTTCATTGGTTGATAGGGTGCTCATCAATAGTTTACAGTTGAAAACAGAGTCGTGTTAACGATATCGGGAGTCAAACGAATTTTTTCGTCGACAGAAAAATTAATGTTCCGGTGACCGTGGAAAACACCAAGATCGTCGGGTTTCCCTTTAACTCGGCGAAAATATCCACAAACTATCGAAATTATCGTATCATCTTAATGAGAATGAATCAATGAAGTTCCGGAAGAGGTCATCATCGGAAAAACAGAGAAAACGATTTTTAATGTCCGTGGACAACGTTAAAATTGCTTTTTTCTATTATCACTGCGAAAACACCCATAACTTCGATGTCTGCTATTGTATTTTGATAAAATTATAATCGTGTCATTTTGATTATTTCGATTGCAGCGAGTGAATAAAGTGCAGAAGAGATCATCATTGCATGAATCCGTGGAAAACGTTAAAATCGTTAATTTTCTCTCTAATACTACGGAAATACCTACAAATTCGATGCCTGTTATTACATTTCGATAAAATTATCATGTCATTTTGATTATGAGGAATGAATAAAGGGCCGGAAGAGGTCATCATCGAGAAAGCAGCAAAATCGATTTTTCAATGTCCCCGGAAAACTTCAAAATCGTCGATTTTTTCTTTAAAACTGCAAAAATACCCAAAATATCAACTTTTTTCACTGCAGTTTGATAAAATGGATGTAAAAAATATCAAAGAATGCAAATCGGAGATGGTAACTTTTATGCGATTATTATATAGATTTGGAGAATAACCTTGGGGAAGTTTATAGCTTCCGTAAGCCTCATCGCAGTGTCTCCATGTGCCTCACGAACTTCCATTAAATTTTATCGAGTTAGAAGCAAGAAATAAAATTTATTCTCTAAAAAACTGTCAGAGAAGAAAATCGTCAACTCTTGGGTATTTTCATGTTTCTGTACTGAGTTTCACATGCAAAGGAATTTTTTAAAATAAAACGAGTGGAAAATGGCTCTTGAAAACCACCTCTTGAGCACCCAGAAAAATTATTCATTTGAATCAAATAAAGTTTATGTAACACTCCGTTGGGCGCGCCGTAAGCGCCGCGCCGCACCAGCGTAAATCGGCATGATGATAAATTTGAAAAATCTAGGACAAATCTGACAAAAATCAAGAGTAATCTGGATCGAATACTTGAAGAAGTGTGGCGAGATTTCTTAGGTTCAGAAGTTTCGGAATAAATAAAAATTCATTTGGGAAAATAAAGTTATTTTGCACGGAGAGCAATATTCAATAAAAATTACGTATCTTTTCCATAATTCCGGGGCGAAATGTGGTTGTAGGAAGTTTTACGGAACTGTCACGGAATTTTTCCACAGCGTTCCGTAATTTTACCGGATATTTCCATTGAAAAATTCCAGGCTTTCAGGAGCCCCCTCCCGCACAAGAGAATTTTTTTTTTAGATGAAGCCCCCCCTCACGCAAATGGACAGCAATCGGAAGGTGATATCCAGAACCCCCTTCCGCTTCCTCCCCTACTAGCTACTTATTTTAATTCCTATTCTTATCATCGTTTTGTGCCCTTCAGCGTTAATGACTTTGCCATCCGACAATGACCCCATTGAAGTGGTTCAAACCGACCACCTTAAAAGCCAAATTTTGTAGACCTCTATAAGAGATTTCACGTCATGAAAGAGTCACACTCGATTTCCAAACAGTATCATTCGAGAACTCTGAGTTAGTATTCGTATACTATGAACCTCCTAAATATGATTGTTCTTCTCTTCGTTGTAGTCTGTACCGTCGACGCAGGTAAGCCAGCCTATAGTATTCTTAATTATTAAAACTATACGAAGGGATTTTGTCAAGATTTGAGGCCAGGTGGATCAAGTTTAAGTCTCTCTATATTACGAAAATAGTGATGCCGTCGAGACTAGTTGAGAATTATTTTGCGGAGATCATCACGGTCTGGAAAAACATTGAAAGTTTTGAAATCGTCGTAATCTCGAAAGACATTGGATCGATGCATCTCATCACAATTTCGGGAGGATTTATCTTGCCTGGATCTCGAGATTTTCGGTTTTTTAAATTCACGAGACGAGACGAGACGAGACAGATATCGAGACAAACGTTTGAAAAACAGAAAATACTGAAACGCAGAGGTGAAAGATTCTTCCAAGTTCGTGACGAAATGCAACGATCCAATGTCTTTCGAGATTACGACGATTCCTAAACTTTCGATGTTTTTTTAGACCGTGATGATCTTTTCAAAATAATTCTCGTCTAGTCTCGACGGCATCACATGAAAGTGTCGTGCAGAGGATGGGTTCATCCACTGAGAACGAAAAGAAAAACTTACGCCCTTTTGACACTGAGAAATTTTCTATAAAAACATTTTAAAAGAATTACAAAAAAAACAAAGACAATTCATAATACACTGAGAGTAAAATCGCTATAATATGACAAAAATAATTTCTTGAGTGGAGAACATCGCATGCATATTTTTTTTTTGTAACTTAGACAATATTCCTGATATTATGTCAATATTTCTGTCAGTGTAGAATCTCAATGGATTTTTAACAGAATGTTAATACCATTCTTGTAGAATCCTAATAAAGGGTCAAAATAAGAGTCACGGGGCTCAGTGTAGGAAAACACTTTGTCAAAAGACTAATTTCAATGTAAAATTGTCAAATGTTCATCCAACAGTATGTGGGCAAATTAAATTGCTTCTATTTCGTAAAGCAGCATTCTCTGTTGTGGTCCATCTTAGTTTTCGCTGCTGAGTGAAAAATTCATTTTTTTCGAAATGCGCTAATATTTTTCAAACGACAGGAAAAATCTGAAATGAGGAAGTGGGATAATTTCAATTCTCTGAACTCATTGGAATTGAAATGGATTGACAATAGTATTCCAGGACTTGCTGTATCTCAATTTAGTCAGTAGGGTCGTTATATATACACAGAGTAAACAAGTGTTTTTGAGAAGTACTACTTTACTTATATCAAAAAAAGTGCACAATATCTCACACTAAGAAGAAAAAACTTACACCAAGAAATTTTATACTTGTCCGAAAGATGAGAACAAAGCGAGTTCTCAAATCAATTAAAGTGATTTTTGCATCAAAATATTTGAGAATTGAGCCGAAAAAACTATAAAATGAATTAATTCAATTTTACTTAGTTTGAGAAATCGCTTTCTTGTCATCAAGAAATTGTCCTCGTCTTTAGGAGAAACACAAAATTACTTGACGAACGTTTTTATTTTGTCAGTGCAAGATATTTTACTCTTGAAAATTTTCAAGTCAGAAGTTTCTTGACATCAGTAAAGACGTATTTCTCGAAAACCTTTGTTTTTATTAGTGTCATTCTTGATAATCAGTCGTCTTCAACATGTCACGTTCCACGCTCTAATACACAAATTATTCCAATATGCTTTTCAGCCCCAAAATGTTTTGATCGCAATGCGCATTTTCACTTAATCGAATATCTCGTAACTAAAGTTCGTTCTTATTCTGTAAGCATGTCTGAGTTAACGATTGAAACCGACATGAACCCACAAACGTCTGCGTTGAATTGCGCAATGATGTGTTTTGATTTTCCCGACGCTGCGTATTTCACCTATGTCAGGACAAATTACATGTGCACGTGCCGGTGAGCTGATTAATTCAAAACTCTGGGATTCAACAATCACTGATGAATGAATCTATTAATTTCCAGCAATGAATTGGAAGACGTACTCATTAACGAAGTTGTTCTCATCTTGGACGACATGTCTTCTGTCGACCATGACGGGGAGTCGAATGTGGAGATCTGCACTAAGTTGTGTATTCATATGGATATTCCAGAAGCTGTAGAATCTGTTTCCTACATAAGAACAGACGACACGTGTTATTGCCAGTGAGTTGATGTGTCCATTCATGAAAAGAAAAGATTTCTCAAAACAAAAAAATTCTTGCCACACTCAAAGACTCGGAAATTTCAAACACACGAAAGAAAAAGTTTCTATGATCCTGGGGCAAGATAGGCGGAAAGAATGACCGGTCATTTTGTTGTCTACCAAAAACAACGCGTGTCAAAAACAACTACCCATCGGCTATTTTTTTCTTCGACTATTTTTGCTTACATTCCTAGGGCAAGTTTCTAGAACATTTTCTATTGATATAGGAACAATTCAGTAGCGAAGTGGTAAAACGGTACAAGTCAATTTTGACTATTGACCAGTTTTCAATGAATATCTCGGAATCTACGAGAGACAACAAAATTTTTGTTATAACCTTTTTTGTAGAGCCAATTGAGAGCTGCAACAAATGTAATAACGAAAATTTCACAGATTTCATCTCCCTTAGATTTGGAAATATTCCTCAAAAACTCAATTGGGAGATAAGTCGACTTAAACCGTTTTACCACTTCGCTACTGAATTATTCCAGTTCGGGAACATGGTAATATGGAAAATTACATGTGGTGGCACTGAAAAGGGAAAATCAACCTCAAATTGAGGAAAGACGATTTCTCTTATTCGAATATTTTTAGAAAAAGAGCTAAAAAATTTAATTCGATCTTATTAATTCCCGTACTGTCGCCAAATATAGTGGGTCAAACTTGTCTTTTTTTTTATTAGGGATATAATGTCCCTGCCTTATTCTTAAAGAGAGATTTTTTTTTAATTCCGAAGAAGGCAGTCCTGAATTCAGTAGTGAAGTGTCCAATCGGTTTAGGTCGTCTTAGCTCCCAGTTGAGTTTTTGTTGAATAACTCGGAATTTAAGAAAGATAGTAAAATTTTTATAAGATCTTTTTTGATAGTCTTCACTTTTCGTTACAAAAAAGACTTAGGAAAATTTTGCTAACTCCTTTAGAATCTGAGATATTCATCGAGAACTGGCGCTAGAACAGAATTGACTTCAGTAGTGAACTGTTTGACCACTTCACTACTGAATTCTAGAACCATATATTCACTGAGAGAAAAATCTGAAGTTCGATTTACAATAAGAAAATAGTTGAGGCATTTTGGTGAATGATACGATTTTTTTTGTATGCGGCACATAACATTGAATGCAGTTAAACTAACCAAAGTTCAAAAGTAACCACGACAAATCTATCGTGAGGAGAACTATAAAATAGTTGCAATGACTACATTCCATTGTAGTAATTACTTGTCCGGTAATAGTTACCGTAACCCATGAAAAATTGTTGAGGACTTTTTGACTATAATTCGATAGTGATGGAATATAGTCAGGAGAATTATATTTTTCTCTCAATGTTGAATTTTAGAATCTTGTCGGAAAAAATTTCCGATTTACTTAAATCTTGTCATTTTTTGCCTCGCTCATCAAAATGATTAATGGCAGTAATTTTCTCAGTGCCTCAAGCTGTGAGGTCCTGGCAACAATTGACCATGGATATATTAATTTACAGTAGTGTGACAGACCAGCCCATCTTCAACATATACGGGAAAATGTGGGAGGAGGTGCGGGAGTTGCGGTCTGAGTGTTTGGAGGAGACACCTAAATCGGGGAAACTTCGCTATGGCTACCAGACAGGAAACTTTACATGCACCAGTGAATGAAACACAGGCCCCGGAATTTAGTCACTTAAGTTACCAATTTAACTTTCACGTATTAATTTTCAAAACTGAGTAAAGCTAAATAATCGGCGAGGAATAGATTATTGGCGCTTATTCAGTAGGTAACATCAGGTGAATTATTGAAATTCTCGGAATGTTTTTTCCCATCGTGGATAGAGATGAATAATTATCGAAACCATGCAAATTGCATTTTTTGTTTCCGAATGTAAACTTTGTAATTGTTCAAATTCAAGTTTGCGGTTTTTGTGTTGGATCGACCCAGTATCATCCAAAAAATCCGAAAATGTAATTTTTAGACATCGTCCGTACGTGTGCGTATGTGTGTACGTATGTGACAAAGTTATTCTTCAATCGTTCCCCAATGAATGGATGGAATTGAATCCTTTTTCTAAAATTTTGGAATTGTTGAGCCCTATCAATTTCCATTAATGAAAATTCAATTTATCGATTAGTTTTCTTTAGTTTTCGATGTTTTTCGAAAACCGGTTGTCCCACGATAACTAAAAAAATGTTCTGAATTGATTAAATGATGGCTTAAAAAATTGTTTGTATCTCCTTTTGACCGAGTGTAAAGATGAAGGCGATAGAAATAATTCTTATTATTTTTTAAATCAAAATTTCAGTGATATCTTTGAATATCATACTTCAAATGAATTCAATTATAGCTCAAAATGTTTGTCTTAATGCCATTAAGTCGAAGTTAAAAGATGATTACGATAGCTATATTGGTTGATTTGATTTTTATGATGATTGTTGAAAATTTCGAATTTTTCATGAATTTTCCTGGAAGTGAACATCGTAATGGTTTCTTCAAATGTGATATGTCAAATACATCCAAGTATGTAGAAATCAAATTTTTCTATCAACATTTTATCGAAGGGCTGAGGGGAGAGATAGAACCGTAAAAAAAACAATCGAAATAAAATTGAAAATTTTACAAAATTAGTTGAAAAGAAATCTTATTCAATTTAATAAAATAAAATAAACAATGAATTATACATGATAGAAGAAAATGATGTACAAAATAACCATTCGAAAGCATATTGCTAATTTATTATCAAAAATAGCTATACTATAGCAATATAAGAGCGATTTCATCAAAATCAAAATGTTGTTAGGAATTTCATAAGATCCAGTTATTGCTCAATTATTGATATAATAGTCAATTATTGAGATAATATTGACTTTGTATTCGACTTCAGACACCCACAGAGAAATAATTTATTTGAATTTAATAAATGGATTTATTTAAATAGATCGTGGTAAAGTTTTCCTTCAAACTTGAACTTTACCTTTAATTCCGTTTTTACCCACACCAAATGGCTAGTTTATTCAACATTAACGAATGCTTTCTCTACTTGAATAAAACTTTTTCAATTAGAAATTAAATATTTGTTCAGACTACGAAGAGTACGAATTAATTTTAAATTAATTAATTAATTAAATATTTCATATGATTACAACATTTCCATTGGAATAAATAAATGTTTTTTAATTTCCAACAAAAATAACGTTGAGATGAATGGAAAATATAGCATCATCTCCAATGAGATATGCAGATTTTTGAAAATTATCGCCTCCTGCAACCTTTTCCGAAAAATCGCCAATTGAAACGATCACTTACAGAAGACCGACATTGAAAATAGTATTCCCTCCCAATGGCCATGGTAATTTTTACTATTTTATTATCTCTGTGAAAACGTAATTTAAGTTTATGTATTTCTGTGTTCCGACCCCCCCCCCCCCCCCCCCCCCCCNCACCCCACCAAACACCCCATTAGCCACTTCATCTCATTACCAAAGTCATTAACGCATTAAAGCTCTTCTCAGGAGGTTCAACGCTAATGACTTTGTTATTAGAAAATGACCGCTTTGAAGGGCTTCAAACCAATCACCTGAAAAGGAAAATTTTGTAAACCTATATAAGAGCTTTCATTTCATCGAACAGTCATACTCGACTTCGAAGCAGTATCATTCGAGAACTCTGGGAATCGTTAGTATTCGCTTAACATGGAGCTCACGAACATCATTGTTCTTCTTTTCATTGTACTCTGCACTGTCACCGCAGGTAAGCAAATCTATTGTATTTTAAATTATTAAAACTATGCAAAGTGGTGTTGCCAAGTTTTGAGGCCAGGTGGCTCAAGTTTAAGGTATTATTTAAAGCTCGAGCTCTACGTAAGACATCAGGTTCTTAGAATCCATCTGAAAGAGCGTTAATTCACCCATCTTCTGCAATTTATGACCGATTTTGAATTGTAATGGACGAAATATAACTAATCAGAAATGCACAGTCACTGTTAGAAAATTACTTTTGAAATTTTTGACAACAGTCAAATTTTCTTTAAGGCTTTGTCAATTTTTGTCAAATGTTCACCCAACAGCGTGTGAGCAAATTAAGTTGCCTCTATTTCGTAAAGTAGCGTTCTCTGTTACGGTCCATCTTCTTTTTTGCTGCTGAATGAAAAAAACTATTTTTTTTTCGAGATGCGATGATATTTTTCAAACTACAAGAAAAATCTGAAATAAGGAAGTGGGGTTATTTCTATTCTCTGAACTCATTTGGATTGAAATGGATTGGCAATCATATTCCAGAACTTTCTGTATTTCAATTTAGTCATTAGGGTCGTTATGTATGTCATTCTTGATGATCAGTCATCTTCAACATGTCACGTTCCACGCTCTAATACTCACATTATTAAAAATTGCTATGCAGTCCCAAAATGTTTTGATCGCAATGCGCACTTTTATTTTATCCACGGAGAGAAATATGCAGCAAAAATTACGGAATAACTCATGTAATCCGCAATGGGGAATCGTTTTCCATCAATTTTTATAGGAATGGAAGAGAAAAAAATCTGAAACGTTCAGTGATATCTAACGTTCATCACCGAACAAAGTACGAAATTGTCACGTAATTTTTCCACAAGAAGTAAAATCTTACAGAAATTTCCCGACTTATTATGCCTCCAAAATCAAATATGAAAACTTATAATCAAATAATCAAGTAAGGGAATTTGACCCTCGTAACCTTTCTGTGGCCTTTCTGTGACCTTTCTGTGGTCATCTCCGTTACCCCTCCTTGTAACATGAAATAGACTGATAATCAAATAATCAAGTAAGGGAGTTTGACCCTCTTGACCCTCGTAACCTTTCTGTGGCCTTTCTGTGGATTTGGATTGTCAATTGGTTGACAATTAATTTTTACGGAACAAATCGTATATTTTACATGGCGATTCGTACAATTTCAGTTCCAACTCACACTTTTTATTAAATTTTTCTCTCCGTGTCGAATATCTAGCAACTAACTTTCCATCATATTCTGTAGACATGTTTGAGTTCATGCCGCAACAAAGCGTGAACCTGCAAAAGTCTGCGTTCAACTGCGCAACGAAGTGTTTCGATAAGGCTTTTCCTGACGCTGCGTATTTCACCTATGTCCTGACAAATAACATGTGCACGTGCCGGTAAGTTAATTAATTCGAAACTCTGCGATTCAACAATTACTGATGAATGAATCTATTAATTTCCAGCGATGAATCAGAAGCCGTACTCTTTCACCAACGTATTCTTGTCCTTGACGAGCTGTTTTCTACCGAGAACTACTACGAGTCGAATATGGAGTTCTGCACTAAGTTGTGTTGTGAGCTGGATACTCCAGAAAATGTAGAATCTGTTTCCTACATAAAAGCAGACGACTCGTGTTATTGCCAGTGAGTTGATGAGTCCATTCAGAAAAAAAAAAAATTTCTCAAAATGTAAAAATTCTTGCCACAAACTTTCTTCTTTCGGGATCAGGCAAAGATTCAGATAATTGAACCAAATTGAAAGAACGTAAATGAATAATGTCGAAAATAACTCGTTTAAGTTTGATTTAATTGATAACCGTGACGATATTTCATCGTTAATTGTGGAAAATCACGTCCGATTGTGCTAAACTCATTCGCAGAGAAAAAAAAGTTTCCCCGATCCAGGGCAAAATGGGTGGAAAAAATGACCGAAAATGACCGGTCATTTTGTCGTCTACTATATACAACGCATGTTACTACCCTTCGACTATTTTTTCGTACATTCCCAGGGCAAGTTTCTAGAATTCTATTAATATAGGCACAATTTCCAGTTCGAGAACATAATGACATGGAAAATTACATATGGTGGCACTGAAAAGGGAAAATGAACCTCAAATTGAGGAAAGACGATCTCTCTTATTCGAATATTTTCAGAAGCAGAGCTAAAAAAATTGAATTCAGACATATTAATTCCCCCATTGTCTCGAAAAATACTGCGTCAAACGCATCTTTCCTTTAATTAGGAGTATAATTTCCCTGTCTTATTCTTAAAGAGGGATTTTTTTTAAAATTCCGAAGAAGAAGGGTCTGAATTCTAGAACCATATATTGAATTCTAGAACCTGGTTGTCTAAAAAATCTTCCGATTTACTTAAATCTTGTCATTTTTTGCTTCACCCACAAGGAAAGAGTTAATGGCAGGAATTTTCTCAGTGTCTCAAGCTGTGAAGTTCCGGGAACAATTGACCATGGGTATATTAATTTACAGTAGTGTGGAAGACCTGCCCATCTTCAATATATACGGGGACACCTGGGAAGAGATCCGGGAGTGGCGGAACGAGTGCTTAAGCCAGCCGGGGCACCTTCGCTATGGCTTCGAGACAGGAAACTTTACATGCGTCAGTGAATGATACACAGGCCCGAAATTTAGTATCCTAATCACCAATTTAACTTTCAGGTATTAATTTTCAAAATTGAGCAAAGCCAAATAATCGGCGAGGACAGATTATTGGCAGTTAATCAGCAAAATCAGGTGGATTATTGAAATAATAATTACTTTGTATTCGACTTCAGACACGCAGAGAAATAATTAATTTGAACTGAATAAATGTTTATGCAAATAAATCGTTATAAAGTTTTCTTCAAATTTGAAGGTTATTTTTATTTCCGTTTTTACAAACATCAAATGAATAGTTTATTCACTAGTAATACCCCGAGAGCTTCAAAATGATCGGGTATTTCGCGATAGCTTCGTTGCAAACAAACGAGAGTGTCAAGTTTTGTAGGTTTAAAAAGCCCCAGCGCGATGCGCGAGGGATTTTTTTACAAAACTTGACACGATCGTTTGTTTGCAGGGATGGTTGAGAGAAATAGCCGATTAATTTTGAATCTCGAGGGGTATTTGTCGGATTATTTTTCCCAATCGGATTTTGGCCAAGCAGATAGCCACTCTTGTCTCTCCGCTTGCATGCGTTGTCTAAATAAAGAATGAAATTGTTAACAAATCTGACCCTTGTTCCAAGTGAAAATGAAAATTTTTTATTTCGATATTTCTGGCGCCTCCGAGGGTGTCATTGGTATTAGAGGAGTCAAAAAATAGGGAATCAACATTCACTTGGCGAAAAAATTCGATTTTGGCGAAAGTCGACTTCCCCCTGGAAAAACCGAAAATCTGACCCTTTGGCTCCGGGTGAAAAAAATGTTTTCATTTCGACATTTGTCGCGCCTCCGGGGGTTTGATTGGCAT